GCTGAAGACCACAGTTGAGTGCCTGGCAGGGCAGGAAAGTCCATTAGATTCTTATCGCCAATAAACTATTCAGAAAAAGCTGGACGTGGAGCTGTGGCTCATACGGTAGATTGACCTTGAGCATAAAGGAGTCTAGGGATAGCACCCAGGCCCAGAGTTCAAGCCCCACCACTGGCAAAAAAGTGACCAGAGTCCAGCTTCAAAAGTAAAGCACCCTTTTACCTTCTGTGGGACATGGTGAGTGCCCGTCACTCCTGTAGGTGCTAGACATGGAAGAGGGGTAGGAGACCCCAAATCCTAGCCTGACCTGCCAGGGCCAGTCCCCCTCCCCGTGCCAGCTGCAGTTACAGCCAGGAGAGGAAACAAAGGGGGTCCATTTATGAGACTTTATTAAAATGCACCTAGATTCCTTCCACTCACTCCCACAGTGCCTTAATAGAGAAGTTGGTCAACATCTTGGAATGCCGCTTGGAAGGGGGACAGATGAAAGAAGAGCTCCTGAGAGGGGAGGGGTGCATTCAGGGCTCTGAGCAGGCTGCTCTGGTTGCCTAAGCCCTGATGGGAGCTAACTTTACCCACAGGGTGGAAGGTAGCCTGAGGTTTTCCCTGAAAGGCTGCTAATCCTCCTGTTTATTCTGGCAAAGGGTTAGTAACATTGGGGAGAAAACAAACTAGAGGACTCATTAGAGAACAATCTATAAAATCTTGGAGAGGGGGATGGCACCCAAACAGACATAATTGTTCATTTCAAGTTGGTAATACTCATTAAAGCAAACATTTGGAAGTTTGATGCAAAACTAAAACCATCCATCAGAGCACCTGACATCATTACAGGAGAGGAACAGGAGAGGGGGACTTCATTACCTTCCTGCTACTGTGTGTGTGTGTGTGTGTGTGTGTGTGTGCGCGTGTGCATGCACGCGCATGCACCAGCACTCAGAACCTTGGGCTTTTGCTTGGCTTTTCCACTCAACTCTTGCTAGTGCTTTACCACTGAGCCACATCTCTACTTCCAGCTTTTTGCTGATTAATGGAAGATGAATCTCTCCACAGACTTATCTGCCCAGGCTGGCTTCGAACTGGGATCCTCAGGTCCCAACTTCCTGAGTAAGCTAGCAGCATTGCAGGCTTAGCTACCAGTGCCCAGCTTCTTCCTGTTTCTTGTTAAATAGAGGCAAGAAAATAATTTCTGAGTATCCTTTCAAAATTCAGAGTGAGAAAGGGTATCCCTCATCCCAGTCGTACACTGGGGCTTACTGAAATGACAATAGCAAAGGTGAACACAAAGTCATCCTTGGGAAGGACAGTGACAAACAGTCTGTGGATTGAACAGATCCTGTGCCTCCTTAAATCCAAAATTAAATCCAGAGCGACACATGATCTCCTTGCTGCTCCACAGACCAAGTCACTCTGCTTGAGTTACTTTGAAACATCTGACCTCTCCTTATGGGATTGCTCTAAGTTTGAAGGGACTTTTCTCCCTTTTGCAAACTCCTGAATTTTCCTTGTGAAGCCAAAAAAAAAAGTGCCTTATAGCATTCTTTTCCCCTGATGTATTTTTCACAAGTTGTGTAGTTGGTTATACAGAGATTCCTGAGGCTGGCTGGCTTGAGACCAAGTCCAGAGCTTCTGTATCCCAGCCAGCAGAATGCCAGCCCACATCTGGGATCTGCCCTGTGTGTACACTACTAGACACAAAAGCTGAAGAGCACATCTCACCTGAAGAGTAAAAGGTCGCTGATCCCTTCCCTGTGTGGAGAATTCCAATAAAATTGTGTTTTTACGATTGCCATGTGTGCTTCATACATTTTAGGAAAACCTCATGATTCTGAATTGGACCTCAGGGTAAATTAGGTCATTGAAAATGTCTAAGATTTGTGTCAGGGTACAGATGGACTTACAAAGCCACGAGAGAGGAGAAAAGAAAGAAGAAGAAAAAAAAATCCTTCTAAATATAACAAACTTCCCAAAAAGGCCATCTCAAACTTAACTGAAGTTGTACTATTTTTGAAAGTGGAAATCCCCATTTTTTGCCACACAAGCCTGTGGTTGAGCCATCTAAGAATTCAACCTCTGTGCCGGCGATAGGACACAGCCCACCCTTTGCTGAATGCCACAGCCACGGTCAGTCACTCCTCTTCCTTCCTGCCACCCACAGGGTCCCTCACAAGTGCTGTCAGTTAAGCATGACACCTGAATGTTGGTATAATTCTACAGTGGAATCCTGTCAAAGGATGGGGGGTGGGGGAGGGAAGGAAAAACCAACTATGGCTACTTACACCAACACACATGTATCTTATGAAAACAATAAGCAAAAAGAAAAAGACATACATAAAAGAATACTTACAAAGTGATTTCATTTATGTAAAATCCTGGAAGAGTCCAAAATTAATATATGATGATAAAAGTAAGAATCTTTTATCTTTGGAGAGGATTATTGATTGGAAGGAGATAAGGTACTAGACAGGCTCTAGATCTTGATCTAGGTAGTAGTTAAATGGGTGTACCATTAAAAACAAAAAAGAACCCTCCAACTTAACTCATTTTTTATGTATGTGTTGGTACTGAAGCTAGAACTCCATGCACTTTTGCTTGTCATTTCCACTCAGTGACAGTGCTCTCCTATTTGAAACACACCTCTATTTCTAGCCTTTTGTTATTAATTGGAGATAAGAATCCTCTCAGATTTGTCTGCCCAGGTTAGCTTTGAACTGTAATTCTCAGTTCTCAGCCTCCCAAGTAGCTAGGATTTCAGGTGTGAGCCTCTGGCATCTGGCCCAATTCTACTCATAAAAGTATGCTAACCCTTAAAAATAAGTAAATAAAAAGAATATAGACATGTCACAATGCAATCATCTATACAAATAATTGATTCTATTAGAAATGTTAAACAATAAAAGTAGTGAAGTATGAGAGATTGTCAAAAGATCTGGTAAAAGAATAATGTAATAATATCATCAAGGTGAATGGCTACTGCTATATTATTATAAAGATCTTTTCTCAAGCTGGTGAAGTGGCTCAAGTGGTAGAGTACCTGCCTAGCAAGTATAAAGCCCTGAGTTCAACATCCACTACTGCCAAAAATCAAACAAACAAATAAAAAAAATACCAATTTTGGCCTGGGAATGTGGCTTAGTGGTAGATTGCTTGCCTTGTACACATAAAACACTGGGTTCAACTCCTCAGTACCACATAAACAGAAAAAGCCAGAAGTGTCACAGTGGCTCAAGTGGTAGAGTGTAGCCTTGAGCAAAAGAAGTTCAAGGACAGTGCCCAAGCCCTAAGTTCAAGCCCCAGGCCCCCCCAAAAAATTATCTCAACTAACATGCAAGACCCTGTCCAAAAAATAACTATAGGCACCTGGCTATCATGCACAAAGACCTGAGTGTAAACTCTACTAACATCAGAAAACCTTCCCCACTCCCCACCAAAAAAAGCAAAAAGAATAAAAGATAGACTAAGAAAACAAATGAAATCAATAAAACAAGAGATGGAGATTGCTTCTGTCATTCTCCAGGCTTACACGGTTTCATTTCCATGCTTCATTCTATTAATGTGCACTATGTCCATAATATATACAAGAGTGTGCTAGACAGCTTTCTGTCATGTGACAAGTACCTAAAGTAATAAACTTGTAAAAAGTAAGGTATATTCTGGCTTATAGTTTTGGAAGCTCCAGCCCATGATTGGTAGTCCTGAGTCTTTGAGGGCCTGGTGAAGCCCCACATCTTGGCGGAGAAAATGGCAGAGCAAAACTCCTCTCAGGCTGGAAGGTTAGAAAAAGAGGAAGAGACTAGGAAGAGACCATGTTGCTTGTTGGTTGAGATGGGATTTCGCTACATTTTTGCCCAAATTGGACTCCAATTGTAATCCTTCTAGGTCTCTGCCTCCTAAATTGCTAGGATTAGAGGTATGAGCCCCAGCATCTAGCCCACAGCAAGGATGCTTCAAGAACCCTCAAGAGCACCAAAATTCATAGTTGTTCAAATCTCAAGTGAAATGGCCTTGTATTTGCTTATAACTTCTGTGTGCCCTCTCTTTAAATCATCTCTAGATTCTTTTTAACAATAAATAATCAGACTATGTCAACAGTGGTTAATACTGTGTTCTTTAGAGAGTAACAACACAGAAAGAAGTCTGTATGTCATCAATGTAGACAAAATTTAAAATATATATTTTCTTGATCTAAAGTTGGCTGAAACCCACACATGCAAAGCCCAAGGACATGCATCACTGGCTGATAGTCTATTTATACAAGTTACTTCCTCTGCCTGGAATCTTAGCCCGCTATATGTTCATATAAGTTCCCTCATTTCCTTCAAGTCTTCACTCAGATTTCATTTTTTGGTGGAGAGCTACATGGACTCCAATTTTAAGCTGCTGCTCACATTACTCTCTCTGGCCTTGTAGCTTTTCTTTAGTGTGTTCTATTTTTGCCATTGTACATATGGCTTCCTTATATACTATGCACTGTACCTATTTATTATGCTTATTGTCTGCCTCTCCCCACCCAATAAACTCTGAAGTCTACAAGAGCAGAGACTAATTCCTACCTCATTCACTTCTGTATTCCTGGCACAAGGTAAGCATGCATTAGGTACTTGGTTCATGATTAAATGAATGAAGATGGCAGTCAACCCTCCTTTCTGGCATTATTAATTAGAATTACTGTAGTCAACAGATTTCCATCCAAAAAGACTGCAGCAATTCGTACTCCCAACTAATAATATATGAGCATGCTTATATAGCTAGTCTTAAGGCTTGAATTCAGGCCTGGATGCTGTCCCTGAGCCTCTTTACGCTCAAAGCTAGCACCCTACCACTTGAGCCCTAGCACCACTTCCAGGTTTTTATTAGTAGTTTATTGGAGCTAAGAATATCACAGATTTTCCTGCCCAGGAAATTCTGGCTATGAACCACGATCCTCGGATCTGAGCCTCCTAGGATTACAGGTGTGAGCCACTGGTGCCTGGCTACTCTCGTATTCTTATTTTTTTTTTTTTAACATGGAACGCTTCACGAATTTGCGTGTCATCCTTGCACAGGGGCCAAGCTAATCTTCTCTGTATTATTCCAATTTTAGTATAAGTGTTGCCAAAGCGGACACTCGTATTACTAACATTACATATTATCAGGGTTTTTTTTTTCCTTTGTGGGCTATCTGTGGGATGCAAATATACTTCATTGGTTTTTAACTTCATATGCTCATTAATTGCTTGCTTATCCACTTGCAGAACTTTCCTGTATCTGTCATTTGATCATTTTTTAGATTGACTTCTTTTTTCTTTTTAACTTGGATGACTCTTGTATAAATTGGCTTAATCATTTGTCTGTTGGTTCTCGTCTAAATATTTTATTCCATTGAATCTTATCATTTAAACATTTGACTTGAAGCATTTTGAGTCATTTACAGTCAAGAAATAGAACATGAATACAGAACTCTAGGCATTTCTACACAGTGAGACCAAAAGCGGATACTCTTAGAGGAAGAACAAAAGTGCAATGCCTCTGTGCCCTGATTATACAAAATAGTATTTAACAAAATGAAAAAAAAAAAGAAATAGAACATGAACGTTTCTTTTGATTATCCACATGAAGCAAATTGAGTTTATTTGCTAACTAAAGCTTATAGTACCTTTTAGCTGTGAAAGGTTGTTTTCAATGATCAAGGATGTCTTGTAGTTAGTAGTAAGAACAGAAAACTGTCAGTAAATTACTACACACTAAGCCCTCACTTTCAGGAATAAGGATAAAAGAGTTAATTGCTATCCTCAGTTTATATTATTTGAGTTATAGTGGAATTGCTCATAAGACTATAGTAAGTGACTATGTTTGTTTTCTTTTCCTTTTTTTTGGTAAAACTAAAATCCTGATTGCCCAATTAGGTGCAAGGATATCCACACCAAAATTCTCTTGTTTTGTTTTTGTTGGTCATGGAGCCTGGGCATTATCCCTGAGCTTTTTGCTCAAGGCTAGCACAGTACTCCACTTTAAGCCACAGTTCCATTTTTAGTTTTTAGATGGTTTAATAGCCCAAGCTGGCTTCAAACAGCAAGCCTGAACAATCAGAACCAGGCCATACCATAATTCTATAATCAAAGAGTAACTGTCTCCTAAAATAAGACATTCCAGTCTATTTCTGTGATTTGCAGTTCTCAAAATACTCAAAAAAGGAAACCTTTTTCTTTTTTCTTTTTCTTTCTTTCTTTGTTTTGTTGTGGGGCTTGAGGGCTGGGCCTGGAACTGTCCCTAAGCTTTTCAGCTCAAGGCCAGCACTCTATCACTTAAACCACTGAGCCACTTCTGGTTTTCTGGTGGTTAACTGGGGATAAGAGTCTCAAGGACTTTCCTGCCCAGGCTGGCTTTGAACTGTGATCCTCAGATCTCAGCCTTCTGAGTAGCTAGGATTACAGGCGTGAGCCACCAGCACCCAGCAGGAAAACATTTTTGAGAAAAGTAAACCAGACATTCATGAAAGCTTAACTCTGATGCCAAGGATCCGAGAGAGAGCCAGGACTTGCACTTCTGTAGGAGATGTCCTATTCAGAGATTTAGTTAAGTGAACATGTTAGTCAGAAAATAGTTGAATATTGTTAAACAGATTTGGCCTAAAAATAGATTTGTCCCTCCTGTTGTAATAAAACTTCTTAAGTTGTATTTCTTTATCTGACCAAAAAAAAAAAAAGCATTAACATTGCCTGGGGCCTTTTTTGTTTAACTTAAGCCAGAATTTACATTCATAGAATACAAGTCAACCAAGGCAAGAGCAAAAGGATTATGTCAGGCAAGTCTTACTCTACTCTTTTAATAGCACGTATGCCCAGCACATGGGCTACAAGACCGGTTTCTAAGGAAGGGCTCATCTGTTCAATCTAGAACACTGTGGGCTCCTTCAATTCATAAACCAAGCTTTCTTCTGCATCCATCCACATGTTCCTCACTCAGCTGACCTCTGTCTTTCTTAATTAATCCATTTGTTCCTGGTATTTTTAATCTTTTAAGGCCACCTGTTTCCAAGGTCTCCTTTTTTAAAAATTTTAATCAAGGTCCAGCTAAGTTTGCTATTGCATCTTACCTTTCCTATTTTTGCTTCATGATTTGCAACTGCAGGATTCCAGGGTTTGCTTTCATTGAGTCATGAACTAGACAACAGCTCCCCATTTTCACATTATTCCAAATAATTCCAGTCTCTGGCACTTCCTTGGTATTTTGCTTGAGACACAAGAAGATTTTGGTCTGCCAAGAAAGAGAGTTGGCGAGCAGAGCTGTCTGAAGACCAACACGTCTCAGCATTGCTTCGTGCCAGAAAACAAAAGGCTTTGGGCAGTCTGGGGGAAAGGGTTAGACAATTACGATGGTTTTCTTGCCATAGACGATGATGGGTCTTTTGGCTTGAAACCACATATGGAACTTGCTCTCACAGATTTGTTCTAGAATATCTATTTTTCTACTGGCAACGCCCTGCCAACAAAATAAAAATAAAATTATGTAGAGGTTTTCTTAGTGTGTTTATGGTTACTTTTCTATTAAAACAGTCCTCTTCTTGCATAACTTGTTTTTCTTTTAAGAAAAATTTGTTAACTCATTTATTTCTGAATTGTAGCTTAAACTCATCACCACTTTAGGGCAACAGAAATTTCCTCTAGCTAACAGTAAGAGCGTTGATTACAATATTGGAATTTATTATCAAAGCCAGGGGCTATATCTGTATAATTTCTTTATTGATATCTTATCAGGACTTAGAGATCATGTGATGACATTGTTTGGAATTCAAGCATAGGACCTTGTCTTTTTTCAATTTGATGAGCAGACTTCATGTATTGAGTAAAAATTACAGTAGCATTTATTATCTATCTTCACAGTATACTTTCCTCTTGGTATTATTTTCCCCAGCTTTACTGAGATAAATTGGCAAATAAAAATGATATTGATCCTTCTTCTAGGTCCAAAACTAGGATGCGAACTTAGTAACTGATACCTTCACTCACTGGCTGGTGCTCTATCAACAGAACCATACCTCCAACACCAAAAATTATATTCACATTATACATTGTGATACTTTGATCTATGAATTCATTGTGAGGAAATATCACAATTAGACTATCTCATCATCTTACATAGCTATCCTTTCCTGTATGTTGTATAAGGACATGTAATATCTACTTTCTTAGCAAATATTAAATGTACAATATAGCATATTAGCTATAGATACCCTACGCATTAGTTCTCTAAATTTTATTCATCCTAATTAGCTTTATACTTTCAGACAGTCTCTCCCATTTCCCACATTCCTTCCCAAGGATCATCCTGCTCTCAGCATTTGATTTTGATATTTTTTTTAAATTCTACATATAAATGAAAGCATATAACAATTTATATTTCTGTGCCTGGTTTATTTCATATAGCATAGTCCTCTAGGTTCAATATGTTATTAGTGACAGGATTTCCTTCTTTGAGGTTGAACAATGTCCTCCTGTATGTATATGTGTGTGTGACAGAGAGAGAGAGAGAGAGAGAGAGAGAATCACATTTTCTTTGTCTGTTTACCCATCAGTGGACACTTATGCTGATTCCATACTTTGGCTATTGTGAATAATGCTGCAGTGAGCATGAGGGTACAAATATCTCTTTGACACACTGGCTCATTTCCTTTGTATATATACCCACAAGTGGGATTACTGGGTCATATGAGTTCTATTTTTAAATTTTTGAGGAACCACCATAATGGCAGTACCAACTTATATATAGTCCTCTCAGTGGTGTAACAGAGTTTCCTTTCCTCCACATCCTCCATAACATGTCACATTTTGTCTTTTTGGTAATAGCCATTCTAACAGGCATAAGGTCATGTCTCCTTGGGTTTCCCTGATTATTAGAGGTGTTGAACATCTTTCCATATACTTATTGGGCATTTGTGTGTCATCTTTTGAGAAATGTCTTTTGAGGACTCTCATGTATTAACTGAGTTGTTCTCCTGTCTTGACAAGTACCTTACAGATTTTAGGTATTAACCCCAGATGGTTGGGAATATTTTTCTCCCATTCCATCTACGACTCTTCTCTCCACTGATTGTGTAAAAAGTCTGTTTAGTTTGATGCAATCCCATTAGTTTCTTATGTTCTTGGGGTAAATTTTTAAAAAAGCATTGCCCAACCGAATGTTGAGAAGCTTTTTGTAGTTTCCAGTAGTTTCAAGTTTTCAGCACTTGATTTAAATTTTTAGTTCATTTTGACTTTTACTTTTATGTCAGGTCAAATAAAAATATCCTTATCTTGTACATGGATATCCAGTTTTTCCAGCAACACTTATTTTTTAGAAACTGCCCTTTTCCCATGTTTGTTCTTGGCACCTTCATCAAAGATCATTGACTAAAAATGTAGATTTGTTTCTAAACTCTCCACTTCATTTATAGGTCGACATGTTTGCTTTTTATGCTGGTAGCATACTGTTTTAACCACAATAAAATCAAGTAATGTGATCATTCCTGCTTTGTTCATTTTGTTCAAGATTGCTTTGGCTCCTTGGGAGGGGATGTCTTTTGTGATTCTATAATGGATTTAGGATTTTTTTCTCTATTTCAAATGCCACTAAAATTTTGATAATGATCAAGTCTGCATATCACTTAATTGACATGAACATTTAAACAATGTCACTCCTCCAATTCATGAATGCAGTATATCTTTCTATTTATTTTTGTCTTCTTCAATTTCTTGCTTCAATATTTTGCTGTGTTTGACTATTCTGTAATATTTTGTTCCATTTTTCCTCTTTTGCTGTTTCTTTTATGAGGTGATTTTTGTAATATTTTTTGCTTCTTTTTTCTTTACATTTTATGGATTTACTATAGGGTTTTAGTTTGCTTGCTTGCTTATTTGTTTGTGATTAATGTGAAGCTTATAATTCTAATAATTCTAATAGCTCATTTCAAGCTGATAACTTTTCACTGTAACTTCTCATCTCTACACATCTTATTGATATCAGAGTTTACCACTATTATATATTGTATATCTGTTAACAAATTATTATAGCTATGAGTTTTAATGCTTTTATCTCTTAACTTTTATACTAGAGTGAGAGTTAGGTAAATTATTCATTACCAGAATAATA